AACTAACTTTGACAATGCTATTTGGGAATTGGTCCAGTATCACATAGTGGTGATCTTATTTGTGCGTGTGAGGATGAAAGAAGGAAAGGAGAAGAGAGGTTTTTCTAAATACAACTTAGTTTCCTCTTCTCACTGGTTATGACAGAGGTTATGCCATCGCAGTGGATATTTTCCCAGAAATGGCTTGGGGGTAACAGTTATACGTTTCACAGCAGTGCTGAAGTAGTTTCTTTTCACCACTCTCAGATAGATAGGGAAACAAAAGAACAATTGCAGTTTTTAATTGCAAGCCACCTGAAAAATAAATACAGGTTTAAAGATTTAAAAGGAAAATCCTGTATACCCCTTTCCTTGGGAGGAAAATAAAGAAAATGGCAGAGAAAGTTTGCACTAGGACTCAGACCGTTTCCGTTAAACTGCAAAAGAACCAAAACCAGGTGGCACAATGGATGAATACACCTGCCTTTCATCTCTGGCATTCTGGGTGTCAATTCCTTTTCAATCACAAATACAAGTGAGTTTGGTCATTCCACCCTAGTTCCTCTATAGTGGAGTATGGGCCATGAAATTTAGTATGATTATCTAGACTGGAGAGGTCCAAATAATTAACAGAGAGGTCTGGAGACCAGGCTAGGACTGAAGTGTATTAGCAGTGCTATGTAGGGAAGATTGTACAATGCCTGCCTATACTGTGCCTAAACGCTAGTTGGTGCCGTTAAGTCACTTTCATGGGATCCATATTCAACGACAAAAGAAAAAAAAAGTGCATTTGTCTAATGGAAAAATCATCTCCGTTCTTTCCTATACCACATGATTCTAGGGCCTAATCCGCCTTTCACGGATGTCAATGTAAGTCTTCCCATTGGATCTAGTCCCTAAAGATTAGATGACAGCATAGGAACAAATAAATCGGTTAGTCTTTAAGGTGCCACCAGACTCCTTGTTGTTTTTGTAGATACAGACTAACACGGCTACCCCCTGATACTTGACAGCATAGGAACAGGTACCTTTTTCAAAAAATATATGATCAGTGATCTTTACACTTTAAAATTATTTCTTTAAGTATTTTGGGGTATAATTCTCAACTCTCTCAATCTGTGCATTAACCTTTCCCAGAGTGTTTAATTCTCTACTCAGATATAAGGTCAAAGCCCTTAGCTGAACTTTTTATTTCAGAAGAACTGAGTATCTTGTCTGCAAACTTATTGAGAGAAAAATCTTGAAGGGAGAAGTGCTCATCAGTGCCTCTTGACTAACATTACTAACAATCTCAATTTAAAAGGAGCGGATGTTAAATCTGATGTAGCTCACAACTGTTCTAAGAAGCTGAGTTACTAAGGGTAATTAACTTTTGAAATTAATTTTTAATATGTACCTTTTACATTATATTCACATGCAAGATGGTGTTTAACACATTGAAATAAAGAGCTCAGAACACACTTATGAAAACTGCAATGTCAAAAATAACTATACTGTAAATGCTCTGGAACTGGTCCACTAAGAAAATCATCTCCAGGGAAGGCAAATCTGTAATCAAATATCTCCACCATGTTGTATGAATATAAATAACATAAAAGATAGTATTTTAACTCCGTACCTCTTACTGAAAGCACAATCAACATTCATGTATACAGGTTGGGGAGGAAAATTTTGTTGAGTCAGATAAACAATACAACTCCTTCAAATTCTTTTAAGTGAAAATCCAACCCCATAATCCATTTATAGGAAATGCCTGCATGGTTTTTCCCTCTCCAAAAAGTGTGGGTCTTGAAGCAGCAAAGGTAAAAAGTTGAATGTAAATGCTGTACTATGTATTTCTACCTTTTAAAATTTAAAACCTATAAAAAGGCAGGGCCACCCAGACGATTGAGGGGGCCTGGGGCAAAGCAATTTTGGGAGCCCCTTCCATAAAAAAAAGTTACAATACCATAGAATACTATATTCTTGTGGGGGGCCCCTGTGGGGCCCGGGGTAAATTGCCTCACTTGCCCCCCCACCCCCTTCTTGGTTGCCCTGTGAAAAGGTACTGATGTATTACTGACTAGATAAAAATAGCTCTCATCTAGGGATTACAAAGCATCTGTGTTGAGATAATCCAAGTAGGTTTGGTTAAAGATTCTATGCCCAGTTTCTTGTCTCTTTAGTAGTCTATTCCTCCTATCAATTTTTCAGATTTGTCTTAGAGGCAAAAGGCTGAGTTCAGCAAATGCTAGCATTGCCTGAAAAATGAGTGACGGTGGTGAAGAAGAGGGCAGAGCCAAGGGATGTGCTGACTCATGCATACCCTCTGCAGCCTCCTAGCAGAAATCAAAGTTGCCCTTTGTGGATGGAAACCTAGAGAGCGGACAGGGTGCAATGCCTCCACCTGCCCTGTCTCGGTGAATCCTCCCTAGTGTGCAGCAGGCCAGACTGGCACATGAAGACTAATTTTATACCTCCTGGCACATGCAAGAGTGACTGCAGTTCAAAGTTGTTTATTGCTGAGGTTTACTATAAAATTTAAGGCCAGATCTTCAAGTGGTGTAAATTAACATAGCTGACAGCTGAGGATCTGGACCCTTCTGTCACGAATCCATGCTACAGTAGCTGCCCATAAAAACATTCTGATTTTGTCACTGATAGTTAGATAACGCTACTTCTTGCATTTGCTAGGCTTAGTATAGTGAATTCTTAGGGAATATTGCAAATACTACACTAACCTTATTCAGTTAGTAAGGTAAAATTGCTAAGTTTTTAAAAACAGGAATGAGATCTGGTTAAAGGTGTATGAGTGGTAACACAGAGTGATATGATCCTAAATAAATGTATTTTTACTAATCAAACAAAATCCCTACACTTTTTTTACAGTAAGGAAGGGTAAACTGAGATGGATAAAATTATAAATGACTCAAACTGAATATCAAATTTTGAAAAAAATCTAATTAACTTAATATTCCCCCATTTAGTTTAATTTTCACCTGGCTTTGCTCTTCCTGCTTCTTACAAGACCTGAAATGCCAAAATACTCTGAGAAAAGCTGCTTGCTCTGAATTGAAATATGAAGTATCAAAAATTGTGCCTGGTAACCTATTTTCTACAGTATTTTCAGCCTATTTGTGCATATATAATAGATAAGATTATTTTGGATGATTATGCAAATCAACCCCCTGAACCTTTTGAGGTTAACCCATCCCCAATTAATAATTTTAATTCTAGTCACTTCATAGGACGCAGACTACATAAGAATAATATGCACTTCTATAGCATCTTTCATCCCAGGACCTCAAAGGACTTTCCAGACATTAAGGACTTGAGACTGAAAGGTACTGAGCTCTCACTGAATTTCACTGGCAATTGTGGGTCCACAGCACATCTTAGGAGCAGCTCCTCTTTAATTAAGTCTCACAACGTATATTGGTCCTGCCATGGGGGGCAGGGACTGGACTCGATGACCTCTCGAGGTCCCTTCCAGTCCTAGAATCTATGAATCTATGGGAGGGAAGTATTCTAATAGCTTAGAATGGAGCTCCCAGTCTCCTGCTCTAGTCAGGAGAGATTGTCTTGTACCCCACTGTACTATCTCTTAACAACAACAATTCAGAGCATAGACGCTTACCTTAGCAGCTTTGTAATCAAACTAATGTGTAACCTCCCCCACCCCATATGACTTGAATAAAGAACTGCAACAGAGCAGCTTGCTACTTGTTGATTTGCAACAAAAAATATTCTGGGCGCAACTTGCAAACTTGGGTGCCTAATGTTAAAAATCTAAGTCCATATGTAGGTCTCTGAACACATTGCCTGATAATCAGAGATGCTGAGCACTCAAAATTCTTGCTGTTTTCAAAATCAATTGAGAGCACACAGCACCTCAGGAAAAAAAATCAGAATATTTTTATTCAGGTGCCTAATTTTTGATACCCGACTTTGGAAATGGTAGCACATATTTTTCACCTCTAATAGTGCCACCTGATGGATATTATATTGTAGGCCAAATCCTTCTCACATGAATGGAACCTGATTCATTGAGGTGAGTCAGGACCTAATCATGCTCCCATTAAAACTTGCATTGACTTCAATGGGAGCAGGCGCAAGCCATGAGTGAGTCAGGTGAACTGTATTTGGCTCTCTACGTATGTTATCACCACTAGAATTGGTCAGAAAACAAGGGGAGGAAATTGTGAAAAATTTCAGTTCTAATTTTTTGCCAAAATTTTGCCTTCATTAACATTTTCCAATCTGCTTTAGTCACCACAAAGACCTGAATACTTGTAAAAACACCACAACACTGATTTACAGCTAAACAACGCTTTATGGATAAAACAGCTTCTGTGGGATTCTCCTGTTTTCATGCCTATAGGATGGTTTCATTAAATCTTAAAAATAATAATCAAGCTTTTTGCTCACCTGTGGTTTAAGCATGTCTGCTTGATTAACTATGGCATAAGATACTATTTATGGAAATGTCTTAGAATAAAACTTCAGAAGAATGTGTCAACTATGCCGTGTAATTTTTTTTTATTATTTTAAATTATCCTGAACTCCACATGGCTGGCTTGCAAGCTTATTTTCCAGATCACTGAAAGCAATGAGAGAATTTTTGACAGACACCAGCTAAAGCAGCTTAAAATCAAAGGCATCACTTTCTAAAGGAGTATCTATAGAAGAGCCATTGACCACATTTTTCTTAGGTCACTGCTCAAGTGTGTTTTAGGCAGGATGTCAGGTCACAGAACTAGCATAATCCAGTTTGTTTTTCTATTCCAACTGAGCAAACGGGTAAAAAGATCCAACAGATTTATACAGTGTGGTTAAAGGCAATTTAAACATGTTCAAATGCAATTTACATTCTTTAATTTTTAACACATTATCTTCATTTATAGGCAGAAAATTGTTGGAAAACAAGTCCCGTTGCATTACTGTACTAAACTCATATAGTCTCTTCAGTTTTAAAGACATTTCCAGTTGCTGGGGGGAAGGGAATGTACAGTGGCTTACCCTAAAGTTAACTTTTTTCTAAATGTAAAAAGGTCAAAATTAATGAAGGGAATAGTGAATTCAAAGTTCCACAGTGGAACATCCCAGTGCTTTTAGCAAATCACTTGAAATGAGGGAGGAAAACCAGTCCTTTTATCATTTTACAGCTTTTGTAGCCTAATGAACCATGCTACCTCCTGTAGTTTCTATCAAGTTGGAATTTTTACAAGAAACTGTCTCATTAGCATTAAGTGGAGGCAGACTGGCCAACTTTTACTGTAGCTTCCCGGAACGTTTTACCTCTCTCATTTGTATTTAGCTGATGAAGTATCACGACCTCAAGTGATACCTCAAAAATGTTAAGCACATCTAAATGACTAGTATCTTGGAAATTAAATTAATTTTCCTGAAGATTTTATACTGGGGGAGGCGGGGCAAGACATAACCACAAAGCTAGAAAAGGGATGGGGGTCCCCTCTTTCCACAGTTGGAAATATACAAAAAGGCAAAATCAGTGTTATCTTAAATCTCTACAGTTTATTCTCACTTGAGAGTCACATTTAAGTAGATGCCTTTAAGGTTAATGGGAGCTGTGCACTTATGACTGTAATGGGTTTGTTAAGTGGAACGCTTATGTTATTGTACATTTTTCACATCTTATAATGTGTAAATTGTGTTTTGCTTTTGGTTGGAAATTAATAAAGAGGATAGATGTTCATTAGGGGAAAACAGACTGCTTAGCCCTCTGGACACTGAATATAATGTATACATCATTACAGGCATTTATTTAGCTGGCAGGCTGCAAAAAGGCAGTGACGGAATAATGAATATTCACATATTTAAAACATACCGGGGGAGATTCATGTGACCTTATTGGAATTAACTTTACAATATTGTCTTCGTTCCTGTCTTTAAATTCTGTGTTTTGCTGCAGAAATGTAATCTATTTGACTTCGTGTGGTTTCAGTTTTACCAGGTTTCATAGTTCCCAAAGAAGGTGAGTAAAAAAAAAAGAATAGATGAACATTGATTTCAAGTAGAATTACAGTCTCTACATTATTTTTCATTTTTGTTTACATTTCTATTTAAAGTTCTTCAAGATTAAGGGCCAAATTCTCTGGTTGGGCGGAGCTGTGCTCAGAGCAAGATCAAAGTGAAAGGTGACCTTATGTCACCCTTACATTTACCCAACGATGGAGATGGCTCCTGGCATAACTTGGAGCAGTCCCCAAGAGGCCATTCCAGCAGCCAAGGATAGCTGGGGTATCAGAATGCTCCTGTGCAGGGATGAGATAATGGATGGTGTAGAGCTGCTCAAAAGTATTCTACATCACTCAGCAATTCCCCTTGCAATGGGAATCCGCAAAGGGCTGGATCCAACAGCTTTATGGTTTCTCTGTGCCATTGGAGAGGTATAAAATAGTCATAGGAGGGCTGAGAATCTGGCCCCAAATCTTGTTTTAAAATACGGATTTACATGTGGTCCAACCGAAACATGGGAGAGCTGAGCTTCTAATATATTTTAAAATCTAATTTAGCGCATCCTGAGTTTAGTTGTGATTCATCTCTGGTTTATCGGAAGTGTAAAATGAATATGTTGATCTAAATTTTAGAGCAAAATTTCATATAGTAGAGAAGCCTTCAAACTCTAGAAATTAGAAAGTAGACGTGTTAGGGTAAGAACAAATATGCATATAGTAATTAGTGCTCAGCAGTGATGGTGACTTGGGGGAATGTGACATCAATTTTGGTACTGCCAGAAAAGTTAAGGTTATACTGGCTCTAGATCAGCAGATCTCAAGTAGACCTATTCAGAAGAAAAGTTGTGCTGTGCAGAAGGCAAAATCTACATAAACTAAAAAGCTTGGGGATAGTTATGTAGCTTGGAGGTGGGAACAGTTCCACAACTCTCCACCAACAATAATCTACCTATCCACCTCTAGCTAGGGCCCATGGTCTCAGGAAATTACAACCATCCTAGACCATTGTGCAGCCTCAAAAAAGACTGAGAGAAGCCAGCTCTGGCCTAAGAATCATTGTTTTGAATAATTAAAATATTTCTCTTTGCAACATGAGCCATATCTCCTCCTACCCCAGATGCTGGTGTGGGGTAGTTTGGGATGTCCTGTCATCCCTCCCTCCCGGGCACTATTTTATTATGGGGGAAAGGAGTAATCTGTAGGCAATGTGCTTGCTCCAGTTGTCAGAATTCAGTCCCGTTGATCTACTGCCATCAGACCACACTTCCTCTCCACAGATCTTCCCCAGCAGGCTCAATGTCCATCAACAAAGGGAATGTCTATCTGATATAAGGACATTTGAGGATGCACTGAGCATGCTCAGTACATTTTCAACCCCTCTGAATGCCACATGAATGGAGATAGAAGGGCTAAGTCAGCTGATTGCATATTACCTCACTTAGTATCATGAGGCTGTTATCTGGGAGGGAGTTCTCCCTCAGAACAGAAAGCAGCTTTAATGAGGCCTGGAGAGCTTCTTTAGGTCAGCAGCTAAGCTGGTGCTTTTTGCTGCATAGGCCTTTAGGAAATGTGGTACTGTATTTAACACTGTGCCCTGTTCTGAGGCCGTTATAATACCTACAGTAGGCTCAGTACTAGGTACAACAATATGATGAGTTAATTAGTCAGTTCTCTAAGGGTTTCAGGACAAACTGTTTTTCTAAAGTTTAAATTCTGCTCTCACCTATTCATGCACTTAGGTCAGTGTAAGCTGCATGTGGTCCTAAGGATTTTGGAAAGCCACTGTCAAAGATGGTACAATGCTGTGAATGAGTGAAGGCTTCCAGAAGCTGGGAAGCAGGGCTAGCTGGGACTTCTGCAAACAGTAAGTATAGTCCTGCCTTATCTCCCTACAGCCGGACACCTTCCTTATGCCTGGCTGCACTCCTGGTATGACTATCTTTCCTCACAATTGCCAGAAACTCCTGGAAGAATTTATGTCCCCAGCTATTTTTTCTTGACCTAACTCTCAGGCCAGCAATCAGAAGGAAGTGATCAGTGTGTATTTGAGAGAGTAGGGGATGGAACTGAGCAAGAAGGCAGAAAGAGAATAGGATGTACTCTATCCCAGAAGGATTGGGAGGTGGAAGAAATGTTACTGTGTTGGGGAAGAACAGGGAAATAGGGCTAGCTGAAGGGGGCTCCTGTGAGAGGGAGAGAGAGAAGAAAAATTCAAAATGAGCATACAGTGATACTTATAAAAATCTTTACATATGCCCTTGCATTTACGTACCCTACCACCCTATTCACAGCATTTCCTTTAGTAAGTATAGGGAATTCTGTAATATTTACTTGCAAATATAAAAGTTTCAGTGGCAACCACCAAACTCCTTGTCATTTTCTCAGTTCAAAAATTGCTGAGAACAAGTTGATTTGTCTGCAATTCAGAAGGTCAGAGTGTCAGGATAGAGTTTTATCCTAACTTTTCCTTTCCTCACATATGTTAGTTTGTGCAAGAACTTTAAAATTATTTAATACTTTTTTAAAAAGAACTGAGCATGTTTTGTTTTTTAAGAAACAAAATCTTCCATGGCAGATTGTGAAATATGGATTATTTACCTCCAAACTGGAAGAGCAGGATCCAGTCTTAGAAGTAAATGCATATTTAGGCTTTAAGGCATATTGTTTTTCCAGGTAAATACATATTTTGGTATACACACTCATTAATACACAGTTATGTGGGGGTAAGCAGATATTTTGGTAGGCATAACGTTTACCATGATTTTGCTAGAGTGCTAACTCTGAAAATGTGCAAAAGAGCAGCTTTCACTGGTAATGTCTTCAATACTCCTGTCTCTTAGAAACAGCATATTTTCTAAATATATATAGAAAAGTTAAAAAAGCTGTCTAGTTATGAAGAATACATTTTCCTGCCAAGTTATAAACCCTTGAGAAACTGTTTGTATTAGAAATTCTGAGACATCCTTAAATTCAATATTAGTAAAGAATCATGATCAGCAACACTATAATTACAGCACCATTGCCCATATATGTCATCAATGCAATGGTAGTTAATAGACCTGAGTCATTGCACATTCAGGAACTTATGGAATTACAAACTTTAGTAATTCAAGTGCGGGACAACAGTTTTAGCATAAGAAATATTGTACTGCTTGGAGCAAATCCATTTATTTTCTATATTTTTTCATGGTGGGATAAATATAATAATAATTGATTAAAAAGTCTGAACAGTAGTAAGGGGTATCAATTGGACGAGCAGATCATGAAAGTATCAGCTAGAAGGCAAATATACACCAGAGATTAAAAGATCAATTTTGTAAAATGCTACTGTGTTTAATCTGCAACAGTCCGCACTGTCCATGTTGAAAGAATGTCCCAATAAGTCCCAAACTGTACAATTATCAGGTTACCATATGGAACAGATTAACCTAAGACGCAAGTAACTTTATTTGACCAATATTGAGTTGGGCCCCAACCCTGCAAAAACTTAGGAATGTGCTTAACTTTATGTACTGTGAGTAGTTTCTTTGAGACTACTCAGTGCATGAAGTTACGCATATGCATAACCCTTTGCACAATTGGAGCCTTAGATGGTCAGATGTTCATAAACACCCTGTGAGAGACCAATCCTACAAACATTTAATGACCGACATAGTGTTAATGTGAGTACTTATGCACAGGATTGGTCTCTTAAATTTGCACACACAAACTATCACTTTTGAACATGCAGAGCCGATAGATGTTTAGGTACCTAGTTTGCAGAAGCAAATGTTGCGCCCACAAACGTGGATTTTTGCATGCTACAAACTGTCTCACAAAAATTGCAAGTGCAAATTCAGAGGCTAGGTTGAAAATTTGGCCTATGTTTTCCAGTGGCTTTATTGGCAAGAATATTCTCATGATGCAAAAAAGTAAATACTTAATTTTTTCATATTTAATAAAAATGTTTCCATAATCTATTCTGCTGCCAGAATCCTCACATTCCATGTGTCAGTAATCATGAAAAAAAAAACCAATTAGCCTAAATATAGAATTTGGTCCAGCTACAGTATAGAAACAATTCCTAATTCATGTGAGACGAGGCATCTGAGTTATACATCTCCTTGATCTGTTTCTTTCTTCGTAAAACTGTACTCACATGTAATACTTTCTGCAGCACCATTTTTTCTATTGAATGGATTCTAGAGCTTAGCACTTTAAAGCTGCAATACAAGAGTGATCAGAATGTCAGGATAGTGTACAAGATGGTTCGTACTGTTTTTACACTGCTTCCTCAGCTAATAAAATGTCATCATGTTATTCAAGGTTTTAAAAAAATGCCATATTTATGAAAATAGAACCTGCTTAACACACAAGTTTAAGAGAATAATAGAAATATTCTAATCCGTTACTGAACACAAACAGCGTGATTCAATACATTTTATTGCCCTGTTACGGAGTCAGTGTATTGTTTTTATGCTCCTTATCTAAGTGTCATTTAGTAATTACAACATATTTGCTGCATATTTTGTTTATATATTAGTAATGGGGCAGTTGATCGAGGTACTAAAGAAATTCATAATTTGAGTTTTAAAAAATAGGATATTTGCAAAATGAACTTGAAAGTGCTGAATATGTACAGTACCCAGCTAGCTAATTACGGAGCTTAACACAGTAGCAAAAAATGACTGAGTAGGAGTGTGTCTGAGTGAAATTTCTGTGGCAGTGATACTAAAAATGTAGCCAAATTAGCAATATGGTGTTCAGTGACAATCTTCTTTTGATATAAATAACTCCAACTTTCACACAGCAGCAGTCTTGTTATTATTTACTGTGGTTTTATATATTGAACAAGTGACTGGATAATTTTATATTGTAATTAATGTTTTAATTAGAAATTCTTATCACCAGTGGCTCTTTCTATATGGGCCCAATCTAATTCCATTGAAGTGGGTGGGTATCTATGTACTGACTACAATGGGTGATGGCCTGGACCACATATGGTCAACTTTCATAATGAGTCAAATTTTTAAAGGGACCTTGCTTCAGCCTCCAGTTTTGCAAGTGCAACTTAGTGCTCACAATTAATTTACAGCATGACTGTACAATAATTTGGGAGCAAAATTAGAGGCTGTTTTAAAAAACAACAACAACTCTATTATATCCATAGAAATAAAATATGCTATTTTAGGATCCAATCCGTTACTCAGACAAAACTTCTCTTGAACTCAATGCAATATGTGGGGACTGCAAGAGTCATTTATGAAAGGTGAAATTAATTGTTATGGTAAGATATTCATACATCTTAGCAGTGCATTAATGAAATTCTAGCAATTAAGATGCAATGTGAAGAAGTGAGGTTCTTACCCACGAAAGCTTATGCTCCCAGTACTTCTGTTAGTCTCAAAGGTGCCACAGGACCCTCTGCTGCAAGATGCAATGTGACGCCATTTGTAAGGTGCACCAAAATATAGTTATTGGAGCCACTTGTTTTAAAATATATCTATATTAAATGTATGTTCAATGCTTCCTATGTTCTCAGCTATCTGAGATTTAAAAACATTTGCAATGAAAGTATCATTGCTAAGTTAGCTGATCAATACAACTCCAGTGCAAGAATATCAATTCATGTAGTACTGGCCAATAATAAAAAAGGGACTGTCACCATCTCACATATACAGCCTTTTAAGAGTTCTGACTTAGAGCAATGAAAGGGAAAAGTGCTACATTCACAAGAAGTCTCTTAAGAGAGTTGTGCTGTATTTTATACTGGGAAAACTTGTTTCACAAACAAAATCTACAAATTAACTACACTAGAGGGAAAAAATAAGGGAAATATACCTGTGCTATTTTTGATTGACTGGTTAAAAAAATACCATGTAGTCTAATTGTTGTGGGCAGAGTTTGGAGCAGTTCCATTACCCCACTGGAGGTGGAAGAGAAGGTATTCTTTTTAGCCAATAGCATCTTTGTCCTCAACTGGAGATTAGGTACGCTTGAATTTACATGTTGTCATTTACCAGTACACATTTCAGAATTCTTGGAGAGGAAGAGAAAAGTAGTATTTTATGAAGGCACACCCATGCTGAATTTACAGGGCGGGGTGGGGAAGCAGAACCGCTTTATGCAGTCATATTACAAGGCTCATTCTTGAAACCTGAATATCATGCTAGAAGAAAATCTAGATATGTGTTATATTTTGAAGAAATGTTTTGAAGGCAATATTATTTGATTTTTTAAAATAAAAATACTTCTGAATAAATGTGGATAGAATCATATTTAAAGAGGGAACTGAATACTTGTATTGCAGCCTTAAAGAATCACATTTTCACTGCAATATATTTTTTTTTGTAAACTACAGTCTGCAACCCAGCAGACCATGACTGAATGCTTTTGAAAACTTGTAGATTACAAACATGAAATCACAATTAATATCCTCTAAAAGTAATTTCAGAGCTTTCACGTCTTAAAAAAGGACAATGTGTACTGCTTCACAAGGTAATGCAGCTAATCAAAAAAAGGAGTAGAATTAAAGTATTTACATAATGAGCAATTCTACAGAAGGCGATCATCCCCATGTAAGCACTGCTGATTATATCCCACGCTGCTTTTAACAAACTCTACCAGATTGGCTCCAGTCATCAGCACTGTCAGAGAATCCTTAAAAGCCTTTCATGGTTCTTTATATTTATTGTAGAATGATGTTCTTCAGGTAGAATATGCTGGTGAAAGAGGATAGTGTCAACACAAGGTACCAGCAGGAGAACAGAACTTCAGCACCACCGGTAATCCCATACTGGGCTGTACTTGGAGCTGGAAAGAAAAGAATAAATATTAAGTAAATATTTCTATTCCCCATCCCCAATTCTTTTATTTTACAGCAATCTGGAAATCTTTGAATTTTTCTTTCTGTCTCAGGAGTGCTCAATATGAAACTAGAAGATAACTGGAAAATGCAGCTGAAAGATAGAAAGACACACTATAAAATAAGACTGATAGTGTCTATTCTTTCATCTTACCCAGAACAATAAATAATTATTACCATTAACATTTTCAGATCTGGATGCCTAAAATTAGGCAATTACATCCCTGCTCAGACACCTGAATCAATGACCTAATGTTCAGATGTGCTAAGCACCAAGGTTCCCATTGAAGTCAATGGACGTTGCGGGTGCTCAGCCCTGCTGAAGATCAGATCATTGACTCAGACTCATTGACTTGATATGGATATAGGTACCTAACTTTAGACACCAAAGTTTGACAATTTTGTCTGGCTAGGAGGTCCATGTTTATTTTCACTCTCTTTAAAAAGGGATTTGTTTTACCTTTTCTTAATGCAAATATATATTGCAATCCCCCGTTTTAACATCTCAGTGATTATAGTTATAATTAATACATACAAATAGAATAAAGAAATACAACAGTATATTAAAAAGAACAACAACTGAAATAAAAACCAAGTTTTGATACAGCAGTGTTCACATTGTTTGCTGGCTATTTTGATTGGGACTTTAACACACCACTAACAGAAAGACAAAAATGGAAAGTGTTCATTTTGTTTTCACAAAATCATAGATATTAGAAATGAAAAAAAACTATTAAGTCATCCTGGACATCCCCTTAGAATGCACGATTATATCCACTGTACATTCATATATTCTGTACAGTTCTAAATTATACAAAGAGATGGGGCTTTTATTTTTCAGATAAGACCATATCAAAATTAATCACTGAACATTATTTATTTTAATCCTAATACAGCACAAAGAAAAACAAACCGTAAGGAACAAATAAGATGAAAGTTGAGTTGAGAACCACTGGAAAGTCTGATTTAATAATCAATATTGGCTGAATTCTGCCCTCAGATTTGCACCCACATCTAATACTGAAATCAACTGAAAATGCACTTGTGAATCTCAATGCAGAATCTGGGCCTTTCCATAGATGCTCATTTTCAAAACTGGGCAAACACTGACAACTCGATTTCTCATAGTTTCAACAGTGCCAAAGTGCAGACCAAAATTTTATGATATGGGCTTTACTAGCTTTTAACACAATACTGACTATGAGCTTGATTCTGCTTTCTGAATGTAACCAAAACTCCCAGTCAAGTCAAAGGCAGTTTTATATGCACAAGCAGGGAAGGACTGAGCCTTTGGACATATCTATAATATGCAAAGCTGAAAAGGAAATTACAGTTTACTAAAAGACTTATGTTACCTTACATCACATCTTGGTACAGTCTCTGATTCAGGAAAGCTTTCCTATTTCGGACAACTTTTAAGCATATGAATTTTAAGTCAATGGATCTTAAGCACTTGAATAAAGTTAAACATGCTTAAGTGATGTCCTGAAGTGATGGATTTAAGCATGTTCTTAAATGTTTTCCAGAACCAAGGCCATAATTATTTCCTTATTACCATACAGCCATGCTAAATTATCCCTTGTTTCAATCAGATGGATTTCTTTTAAAGGAGAGTAGCAATCTAAGTATGAAATCTTGCATTTTGATATGTTTACCACTAATTATTCTCTTAGATAAAACCCCAGAATCTCAAATTTTGAACTAAAAAAAAAAGCTGTGATACTAAGTATTCCTACAGCTGTGCTTGTTGCATTGAAGTGAATTTTCCTCCAGCTGTCCACATGCAAATACTCAGGTTTGTTTTCTATTTTTATAAGTACTGTTTATTTTAAACTGAACACAATAAAGTGAAACAAACAAACATTCAAAAGAATGTGAAACTGTATTAAAACTGAGAAAAGGTCAAGTTATTAGGAAATACAAGATAGTTTTTTTTTCTTCTGAAGAATATTTGGAGGCAAGGGCGTGATCCTACATTATTAGACACTAGGTGGTCTTACAAATTACTGTTATACAAATCAAGGCTCTTTCAGTCCCCTGAGCCTGAATCTTCAGGTTGTTCATGTTTTGTTTTGTTTTTTCAAGGTGTGCCCGTTTTCACTGACTCAATCTCTCTTTTAACTTATTTACTCCTTATTTATGAAAAAGAGAGAGTCATTTTCACAGAGGGGAAAATTAATAACTACTAGTTTACTCAAACATTTCCAGTGCTTTATATGGGGCAGACAGTAAACCTACGTTTTTGGCTTTATGGTCTTAACTATTGCTGGATTCTGAACTCTTTTGTTGCCTCAGGTCCCATGATCTTTAATTAACATATATGCCTAAATTCTACTCCTTGGCCTAGCAAAAGGATCTGGGAATCCCAATCCTGGTGTTGCTGGATAGTTATGAGAAAATAAAGAAAAGGTAATATACTCTATTTTTATTTTCTTATGCATAGCTATTTTTTCACATCATTAGGGGTGTATGTTTCATGCTAAGTTTTGGGGAAAGTAATGGAAAAGTTACAGTAACAATGTTACAAATCATGAAGTCTCTAAATAGGTTCATGAAAAACACATTTTATTGCATAATTTGATTATTTAGCTACTGCCTATTCCCCCTCTACTTCCCTTTAACAGTCCTCCTTACGTCCTAGGCTGCTTTCCTCCCTTTTTCCCCCACTAACATCTTAGGGCCAGATTCTGATCCTCTTACTCATACAGTAACTCCTCACTTAACACCCTGCCGTTTAATGTTGTTGCAAAGTTACCTTGTTTAAAGTTGTGCAATGCTCCCTTTTAACGTCGTTTGGCTGCCTGCTCTGTCCACTGCTTGTAAGATTCTGTGGAAGAGCAGCGACTTTACAAGGGAGCATTGCACAAGTTTCTCTTCTCTGCCTCCTCCCCCTCCCTCCCAGCCCTTCCCTCACCGGGCATTTACGATTTTCTGGAAGGGAGAGGGAGGAGTGGGAAAGCGCTGCGTCTCCGCTCCGCCTCCTCCCTCCCAGAAAGTCCTAAGCGCAAAGGGCTGGGAGGGAGGGGTAGGAGCGGGGAAGCGCTGGGTCACCACTCCTCCTCCTCCTCCCTCCTAGAAAGTCCTAAGCACGGAATCTTGGAAGCTTCACACAGAATGCACAATTCTGGTTTAAAAATTAGTTATCTAGTGGGAGGGTTAAATTTTCGAAAGTGACTTTGAGAATTTAAGAACCTCAGTCCTATTGAATTCCATGAAATTTCGGTTCTTAAGTGTCTATGTCATCACTTTAGAAAATGGGACTTGAGCTCCTAAGTCACTTAGATAATTTTGAAAATTTAATCCATAGTCTCTACTTTTCTTAAAATTACAGTAAAACTCTCGCCACATAAGTACTTAAGCCATTTTATCCCAGTCAAATTGTATGCCAATATAATCTGAATAGTTTTATGCATAGTGTTAGGGATACTAGTAATGATGGTCAATGTGTTTCTGTGATTGAAAAGGCCATCCGGGTGCCAAACTACTGTAGGCTAGATAAACAAACTTGCTTCATTGTTGTCTCAAAAACAGAAGATACAGAAACTAGTCTCAAAGGTTTTCATTCAAACTTGGAAGAGCAGTAAATTCAATTTTTTCAAAGGAAGAAGGAACTTTAATTGATACAATTCATGGCTGAGATGAAGGCTTGAAATTATACAAAATGAATACGGGTATTCACAGAGAAAAGGAATACTAAAGAACAAATAGAGAATACTATTATAAATGTATATTATGGATCAATTTTTCCCTCATAAAATTAAGAACAAAAGTTAAAAATCTTTTGAGCGATTTAGTCATTTAGAGACACATTTACAAAATCTCACATTGTGTTTTAGTTCCTTTAGGCAGTGGTGTGGGATTATAGGAAAATCACTTCAGCACAGATAAATGGTAGTACTGTATGTAATGGGGATAGCTCATGAAAAACTCAACTGGTAACAAGCGGTAAACTGGAAATAATAGCTGTGCTAAGTCTTATTGTAATTAACTTATTAACTCATCCTATGTATTTTTTGTGTGGGCTTTGTTTCTGCATAAAATTTTCATCTTTATGTCAGAGTTGACCCACGTAGGCGAGGGTGAAGAAAAACTAAGATATAGCAATATTTCACCTGCTATATATATTTTTGTTTTGTTTTGGTGACAGGGTAGTTAGACTAATAACTGATTAAGTCTCTAGGTTCCATGTTTTGCCACCAATATCAATCTTTCTGCAGTAGAAAATTATTACTTTACTAAATATTTTCTAACCTAGCCTATTAATAACACTGTTTAATGTATTTTGATATTAGAGGATCCTTATGAGTAGTTCAGCATTGTGTCAGAGGATTACAAAGAGAAATTAAGTGTGTTTTATCCAACTGCCTAAACTGTGAACAAGAAACCCTTTAGTACAAATAGAAGTTACCTCTGAGCAATGTGTATATTTATTCTGAAGTAACAAAAATTTTTGAATTTCAATTCAACATTAAAACATTAAAAACAAATTCCCAATTCCCCCTCTTATTTGTTGCACTTGGTTGCATGATACATCATGTCTAATGTATAATGGCATAGTCTGTTATGATGGATACTGTTCCTTTTGTGAGGCAGATTTATAAGGTTAGGAATTTTCAGACAATTGAACAATGTGACTGGAAGAATATCCCTATTCTTTATACAGTTTCTTGGATGATTGATTCCCTAACTAAAGACATTTTTAATGCAAGTTGGTTTTTTGGGGGGGGGGTGGAGGAGAGTTATTTTATGAAGCATCACAGCTACTCAGTTTATTACAGATCTCCATGCATTATGCTGAAAGTACACTCAAATAACAGTAGACACTGAAACATACATCTGGCCTCAGTTTAGCCTGAAGACCTCTGACCTGCATGCAGGATACACACAAAACAGGTTGGCATATATTTTCAAAAGTGGTTAGTGATTTGGCGTGCTCCAAGTTTTGGGT